ATACGGAGAATATTGTTTTGTTTGTCAAGTTGTGATGAATACGAAAAATCATCTCACAATAAGGACGATATAAAATTGCTTCATAGTAACTATACTTTTCGTATGATAGAGTAATAGCAGTTCTATTTAGCAAGTACATGTAAGCTTATATATAAGCTCACACTAACAATCTAGAACAGCAGCTTATATAAAAGCGCAGCTAGCGATTGGTGCGAAGTCATCATCTTTAAAAATCTTAGTTTTCACTACCATAAGCAGAATGTTTTTACGYGAATTGACATTGAGTTGGCCATTCAAGAAAAAAATCTCTATGTGGAAGCCAAACAAAGTATATAGAGGATATAGTTGCTAGGCTGTTGAGCGGCTCATGTCCACTTTGTCTTCTCAAGTTTAAATAGCAAAAAAATTTTATACTAAACAGCTTACCTTTTCTTCTCTGGTGAAGACATATAGTCACTCTCAGATTCTGCTGAGGGAATAAAGTCTTTGTCCTCATCATCAGATGACTGGCATTGTCGTTCTGCAGAYGAACATTTAGCTATATATTCCTCGACATCAATAAGTGAGAAAAACTTGCGACTCTCCGGAGCGGGCGAAATCCATACATATCCCTTGTTATTTTCTCTTTCTTTGATTGTCCAGTCTAGCTCTAGTAATTCTTCGTTTCTTAAGTAAGTTTTGCTCTTTGAAGGAGGTGGTTTTCGTTTTCTTTTTTGGCTTTTTCTACCCATGCCGACATTCAAGTTCACACATCAAAACATGACACACGAAACCTCGAGTTTTGCTGAAAACCGCTTATATGAACACAGCGGGCGCGCCGTTGCTAGGTGTGATGTCATTGTTTGTGTCTATTTATAAGCTTCGCGCCAAAACGAAGCAAAAACGAGCATTTTCGTTGGTTTTTCGAACAAATATCGATGGATTATTGGAGAAATCGATAAGTGCTTCTTGTAAACRCAAAATGGCGACGAAAGCTCGCAAATTGTTCTTGAAATACCTTCTTGAAGTCTCCTACAATGTATTCGTGTACTAAGAATACTAATAACTTAATCTAAGCTCAATAGAATTCAAAGATACTTTCTGAAAATAATATTTGGGCATATTTATGACAATTTTGACCGAGCCCAGTGAAAAAACAATATCAAGTTTTGAATTTATGAATGTGTGATTTAAGTTAATCATTAACATATTAACCTATTAATTTCTCGAAATGGGATCGGTCATTTTTTTTCTGTTCAATTGGACTTAGTCCACTGGTGCATTTCATTTTTCAATATATCCAATTTTGTGGGAGAAATTGCGCTTTTATTGAAAAAACAAGGGTTGCTATGGAGACCTTCACTAGGAGAACAAGGTGTGGCATGAAGTTGAAAACAGTACGATGTCAAAACTGAATCTTTAGTTTAAACAAAATGAGACTGTGATTTCAATCCATGTAAAGCCCCACAAGATATTTTTTTCCAAAATGGGTCCCTGAGACCCTCCCAGAGTACCTTAAAGGATACCCCCAATTTTCTTTGTTTTCCTCAGATAACCAATGTTCTCTTTCAATCCAATGTGCACTCATCTTCTTGCACATTTCAGGAGAAGAGAACCATCGATTTACTTTGTCAATTACACTTAAATAGTAATAAGGAATTGTTCCAGGATTTCCACAGTGTGGACATAATTCATTTTTGGATTCCATGAGACCAAATAAACACGGATTTAGACATATAAAGTATAATTTCGGGTTATTATAACCGATTTCTTCTAGCATATCACGCACATGTTCCCAAGATGATGGCCAATTATCATGGTTTTCAACGTTGTTTTTGCATAAAATATCTTTGCCCCACTTTAACAAATCCTCCAGTGTTGAAAAYCCTAATTGAAAACCCACTCTTGGTTTTAATATCAACAAGTTTCAACACAGTCTCTCGGATAAATTCTCGCACATCATCAGATTCATCGTCTTTCAGACACACGATGATCGGCAGTCGCCAAAGCAATTCGTTTAGCATGCCTCCAAGGCTTCATTCTGTTTACTGGTCTCCCTCCGCACACCTCACATGGACAATGAACATGACCTTTTCTATTTTCTATGTCACAATCACACCAGCAAATGGAAAGTTTGTAGTTGGTGCTCGACGACGCCATTTTGGACAATATTATTATTATAAAGTGGGTTGCCTGTGTGTTAAAGACCACAGGGGACCTGGTACTCAGGATAATGGCTACATGACTCAAACATTTTATAAAAGATTTTTGCACACTTCAAGGTTTTTGAGATGTTCTTATTATAAATCGATATAAACAATCAACCTCTGTTGCTTGTGMTTCCTGTGTTTGAGTCCGCAGTTATTAGATTTAAAAATTATCAGCGGTATTTGTGGCGCGAAAATTCATCCAGTCAACGATGAGATATGACAACTTGCAAAGGCCTGTCCAGCTCTGCTCGTTCTCTGCACGAATTTCGTTAGTGTGGGAGCTATTTGTTTGGTTGATCTTTCTTTCTCTGAGAAAAAAAGCTCTTTGTTTGTTAGAATTGTTGTTTCAGAATGCCTTTAGACGATAGTAATACCGATACAACCGAGGATGAATCAACTAGTATAAAATCAGTGATACAAGGGACTCCAAGAAGGAAAGGCGAGAGGAGGTCTTTGATGTCAAAAAGTGAACAGAATGTCGAAACTGCTGGAGATGAAAAGACCACTGCTGAAGTGAAGTTACCAAATAATCCAAAAGGTGATATAAACAGCGATCTAAACTGAGTATATTATTGTGTTTAGGYACTCTATTCATTCTTATTTTGTATTTAGACTGCAATTCTTTTGTTTGCTTCCAGAATGGAGTTGTGCAAACGTGCACGCATGGATAACGAAACTTTTTGATGGAGAGATTGCCGGYAAGTTTCAGGCRGAGGAAGTAGATGGACAAGAAGGAGGAAAGTATGAAAAAATTGGGACTAAACACATTGGGAAAGAGATCAAAGTTCGAAAGGTGCATTGGAGAACTTCAGTGGAGAGGTAGATTAGTTTTCTTGCTGAATGTTTTTTCAACCGCCATATTTGTTGCTGATCCATTTCCATCTGCTTTTTCTTCACAAGAAATTGAAGGGTTTATTAAAGAATATAGSGATCTGCCTATCATATATAATAGCTGTATGGTTATTCCCATGTTTCCTTGCACTTTTACATTATTTTTTACACTTTTGCTATTTTGTTTTACTAGTCCATAAAAAAATACTATAACATRGGGCATACTTGTATTTTCTTGTGTTTTAATTTTCCTTTTTTCCTTCATTTGTAAGATCCATGTGAAACAAAATGACTTAATAACACATGTACATGTAGGTCTTGGGCTGAAATATAATGTTTTAAGCTTTTATATTCTATTATTTTCATGTAATGCAGAAAAAGAACAAGACATTGTGGAATCCAAAGTAGAAGACAGCAGGTCTGGATTACCCACATGGCACAAAAAATTACTGAAAGCCTAAAAAAGACATGGACTCCTTCACAAAAACATGCATACAAAATACAGTAAGTGTGAACATAGATGAAAGCTTTCTTTATATCATATTATCATTATTTAGTATATATAACTTGTTGATACCTCTGTAGAAATAAAAATTCTTCATTTTCTTGATAGAACTGCTGTCATTATRAGAGAAGCAGGAAAAGTATTTCCAAGCAATTGCAAAGTGTATTTCAAAGCACAAGAAGAAAATCGTCTAAAACTGGAAGAACTTACAGAAAGCTTGCATTTAAAATGTTGTATTCCAGAGATTGGATTTGGTAAAGGTGGGTTAAAGTATATATATATATATATATTTTTTAATAACAAGCCAAAAGTTGTGCACTGCAATGTTGTATGATGGGTGCAGCTAAGCTACGTCAGTCATGATTTATCATTGCAATGAAATAATATTAGACTATATTCTTTSTTACTTAGTCATCAAACATAATTAATGCATGCATATAAATGTTTCTAAACCTTGAATGTTTAAGATTCACTACACTAGATACAATGTAATTCAAAAAGCCAAATTTGTCACAACTTTGTTTTACCCAATGATCTTATAATTGATGCAARTGCTCCTAAGATTTATCAATAAAGTTTATTATTATGATTCTACCTTGTCACCACAATAAGGGATCCCATGAGATAGCATTRCGCCTGCGCGGACTCATTGCGTTRTCGCTTTCGACAAGTGCGGATTGAGTTTWAACGTCAAAAAATTTCACATTCTTATACACCTGTGAATGTACTACAATGACTGAGAAGAACAAGAGAAGAACACCTTTGGAACCTACAGTGATCGTGGAAAATGAGAAACAACCGGAAGACCTTTTCTCAAGCCCCATTGACTCTAATGAGCAATCGTGGGCGGCCATGAACAAATCCATCGAGAATGGGTTTAGCCTAATGGCTGGAAACCTCGGCCAACAGATAAGTGAAGCGATTCACAAGGCATTTAGTGCTTTCGAAGCCGTACCTGCCTATGACGAGGACAAAAGTCGCGAAGACCACGAGGA